GAGCCGTTTTGGGCTCAAAGCAAAATTGAACAGAAAGTACAGAGTTCTCATATGCTAGTAGGTGAGATTTTTGATGTCCTAAAAATCCTCTGTGCTCTACCTATTCATCTCCCACAACTCCTGACACCACTGATCCTTTTACTGTCTCCATAGAGAGACATTCTTTTCCAGAAGTTCGTATAGCTAGAATCCTACAGTATGTAGTCTTTTCAGATCAGCTTCTTTCTCTTAGCAATATGCATTTAAGATTGCTCTGTATCTTTTCATGGCTTGACAGCTCATTTCTTTTTAGCACCCAACGATATTCCATTGTCTGGATGGGCCAACATTTGATTTATCCATCCCCATACTGAAGGACAACTTGGTTGCTTCCCAACGTTTTTTGGCAATTATGAATAAAAGCTGCTATAAACATGCGTGTGCAGGTTTTTGTGTGGACACAGGTTCGCCGTGTGATTTTGTTTAAGATTTTATTTCTTTATTTATTTGAGAGAGACGCAGAGAGAGCACCAGTAGGGGTAGGGGTGGAGGGAGAGGGACAAACAGACCCTGCGCTGAGCAGGGAGTCCCAGGCGGGGCTCCATCCCAGGACCCTGATATCATGACCTGAGCCGAAGGCAGACGCTTAACGACTGAGCCACCCAGGCGCCCCCACCCTGTGATTTTTAAAGCTGCAGAATGAGCAGATGTTCAGGGTGCGTCTGAGAGACTCTAAAACACCATGTGTTTTGAATGTCAGTGACTCCATCACTTCAAGGGAGCAGGGGTCCCGCAGCCCACCTCCCTGCATGCAAGTTACTTGGCACTTCTGTTGAGTCTACCGAAAAGTTATCCCCTGAGGCTTGCTTTTAAGCTTTGTTGAGTGGGTTGGGACCAGCCTTTGGTTTCGGCTAATGTGGTGCCACGCCTGAGGCCACACCCTGCCGAGGACCCTACTGGTGGCCCGTCAGCGCCCTTCTGGCCGGCGGGAACACACACCATTCCCGGGCCCCTTGAGGTCGGAGGATTGTTCTACCCGCTCCTTTCTGGGGACCTTTCCTCACTTTCATGGCCTCCTGCCCACACCAGTGGCTAATCAGCACCCAGCTACGCAACGACGGCCGCCCTCCTCTACACACTGCCCCCCGAGTTCTGGCCTCCCTGGCACCCCCAACTCCAAACTCTCTCGAACCTGAGTCGCCAGGCTCTGGGTCCTCCTGTGCTGGGGGCCTGGCCACTGTCCACACAGGGCTCCGGCTCCCCTCTCTCTGGGATCCAACACTGCTGTTGTCCAGGGTCCACGTGCGCCGTTTCCGACCCTGGCCTGGTTCAGTTGTTCAAGGTGGGAGAGTAATTCAGGTGGTGGTTACTGCACCAAGCTGGGTTCCTTAACAATCAAAACCCACCTCAAAGATTAAGAATACATTTCCGTTCCACATCAGTGAGACTGAGACAAGGTGGGAATCGCGGATGATCTGAGACCCCGTGTGAAAGTGAGAACGGGGCTGAGCGGAGCGCGGAGGCCCTCCGGAAGCCGCAGGCGGGGAGCCCCGGACCAGTCTCTGCGGCCGTCCAGCGCGGCGCCCAGCGGCCAGTCAAGGGAGGCGGGCGGGGCCGGGACGTCCGCACAGGGCAGGGACAGTGTGTCTCCTTCGGAGCTGCTGACCCTGCGGCAGGAGGAGGACACGGGCAGGCAAAGGCTGGCTTTGTCCCACAGCGGGGAGCTTCTGTCTGGGCTGTCTGGCGGCTGAGGAGGAGGGGGCCTCTCGCGTATAAGGATGCCAGGCACTGAGAAAATCAACGGTGCCTTCAGAGAAGAACCCCCCCGAAAACCTGGCTTAAGAATCTACCACTCGCTCAACATCTGCAGTCCGTCACCGTCTTGAGCCCTGGAACATGAACTTGAGCGGGAAGGTCTCCGCAAACCCGTGGCAGGGTCACGTCTGCCCGTTACTGCGCCGCCAGGGCTGCTGCTGGCCTTAAGGTAGGGCAAGGCCGAGCACCCGACGTCCTGCGGCCCCGAGCTGCCCACCAGGGGAGGCCTGAGGACCCGGGGGCTGCCCTTTCCACACGCACTTATGTGGCTGAGCGGCTCTCAGAGGGCAACTCCATGTAGTAGTTCCAGGGAGCTGCAAAGAATTCCTGGTCAAGGGGGCGCCTGGGTGGCTCAGTCATTGGGCGTCTACCTTCGGCTCAGGTCATGATCCCAGGGTCCTGGGATCGAGCCCCACGTCGGCCTCCCCGCTCAGCGGGAAGCCTGCTTCTCCCTCTCCCACTCCCCCTGCTTGTGTTCCTGCTCTCGCTATCTCTCTCTCTGTCAAATAAATAAAATCTTTAAAAAAAAAAAAAAAAGAATTCCTGATCAAGACTCCCAGCAGGAGATCGAGGTGCGCAACTAAAGCAGCTCCAAGATCTACGTCCTTCTCGTTCTCCTGGACACACAGCCAGACCAATTCCCAGCCCCTCTGGGGCTGAGTTCCAGACACGGGAGTGTGTGGAAGTGTGGTGTGCTCTCCCACGCGGGGCCACCACCCCCTGGCGTGGCCCTTCATGTGCTTTTCCTTCCCCAGTTGGCTGCAGCAGAGGGGGAGACCGAATGGTGGCCCCCAGAAGGTCTGCCCACATCCGAAGCCCCGGAACCTGTGCCTGGTGCCCAGTGACCTTACGTGGCAAAGGGACCTTCGCGAACACAATGAAGTTTGGGATCTCATGATGAGATCTTCCCGGATTAAGCAGGTGGATCCTAAATCCAAGGACAGTGTTCTTGAAAGGGAAGAGCAGAAGGCCATGGGAAGAGGGAGGCAGAGACTGAGTTGTGCTAACGTGAGCCGAGGTGGGAAAGGTAAGGAGAACTGTGTCCGTAGAGCCATCAGAGGTGGGACCCTGCCAACACCTGTGTTTGGACTTCTGCCTTCAGAACTATAACAGAATTCTGTCGTTTTAAGCCACCACATTTGAGATAATTGGCACAGGGAACCAACACAGGAAGTCACCCTTGGAGAATGTGGAAGCCACAGGATGGAGGTGGCAACTGGCAGGCAGCCGGGGTCCCCGAACGACAGGGAACCCCCCCCGGACTCGTGCAAGGCCTCCCTGGCATACGTCCCATTGGCCAAAGAGACGTCTTGTGCTGAGACGGCTTTTTGACTCTAACATTCTAAAGTAAAAAATAATTCTAGTTTTAGTGTAAAAAGGTATTGCTTCGTCCTTAAACTTTGTTCAGTTATGATTCTTCAAGGCAAAGCTAACTAACAACACACAGTAAATGACGGAGACATTCTGGGGAAGCCAGGGATAAGTGTTCTGGAACTTTCTGCTTTTTATTACAGATTGTTTCTTCAGCCTAGAAATCGGTATCAGGGACCCCAAGTGTGTAGCTGTGAGCCCAGAACATGGGTTACTGAACCCAGGCCGAGCCTGGGGCCCCAATCCTGGAATATCAGCTTCTCTGTTCCGATGCTCATATTAGGGAGGGACAATTACCCCAGCGGTGAACAAACTGGACTCTGGAACTATCTTGCCTGGATTTAAATTCTGCTTATTAGTTATCTTAACTCCTTAATTTCTTTTTTTTTTTTTTTTAAAGATTTTATTTATTTATTTGAGAGAGAGAGAGCAGGAGAGGGGGGCGGGTCAGAGGGAGAAGCAGACTCCCTGCCGAGCAGGGAGCCCGATGCGGGACTCGATCCCGGGACTCCAGGATCATGACCTGAGCCGAAGGCAGTCGCTTAACCAACTGAGCCACCCAGGCGCCCTTTAACTCCTTAATTTGTTTCCTCGTCTGCATTATGGGGATAATGTGGAGTTGGAAGGGCTAAATACGTTGTATCCCTGTCAACCACGTTTTGAAACAGATGAGAAAGGCAAAGCAGCCAGGCAGAGGGGACACACTGAGGCTGGTGTTGACAAGCGCTGGGCCACTGAGCAGATCGTCGGCAGGCAGGCAGATCTTGTCAGCCTGGCAGGGATGGGAGGCTGGCCATGGTGGGAGGTTGGCGTTACCCACAAGGGCATAAGTTTACATGCAGAGGCGAGTGCAGGGCCGGCCACCGTGGCGGCTCACACAGGTCCCGTGAAGCTGCAGGCTCGCTGCAGGCATAGGGGTGGCAGGCCCCCCGCTGGATCTCCTTTGGCTCCCGGCGGCGTGGGCAGCTTCGAGAAAGCACAACTTCCGCAGGCCCCCCTCACGGAACTTGGGGTCTGGAGGCAGCAAGAGACAAACGTGGGTGCCAGTTTATCTCCATTGGTCAGCCTTGCTCTCTCTCACTTCCCGTCCAGCTTGCCTTCCCGACCGCCCCCTGTGGCCTGCGGGCCCAGCACGGTGCAGAGAGGCAACGGCCCGTGTAGATGGCTGAGCCAGCTCCCGCGGCCGTGCGAGGTCCCACCCTGATGCTGAGTCCCCTCTGCTCTCTCACCCACCGGGCTGTGTCCGACCGCACTCCCTATCCCGTCTGCTCGGAGCCCGCGCCAGCCAGGGCAGGGTGGGCGCTCGCGGCTAAGGCCAGCATGCGCAGACGCAGGCCCTGCACACAGGGGGAGCCACACGGCTGCAAGGTCTGGGGGACGTGCAGCCCGGAGCTCCGGCTGCCCTCGCTGCTGGTCTTGCCGCTTTTACTGGGGTTCCTCTCATGCCCCCTACTTCTCGAGCTCTGCCTCATCACTGCACTAAAGACAAAAAAGTTCCTGCTAGCTCGCAGACCTGCTTTCTTAATTAATTGCCTCTTACCCTCTTTCTCTCCCCGGGGCCGACCTTTGAACAAAGGAGATGCTGAGATGCAACGGATCTCGAGCTAGAGGGAGAAGTACGCCCGCCTTCGCGGGGTGGTCCTGCTTCCGGACACCCCTGCAGCCTCTCCTTCCCGACACATGGGGCCCCGTGGCCTTGTCACCTCCCACCCCTGCAGGAGGTCTCCACGGGCAGGCCCCACGGCTGAGCGCTGGGGAGGCAGGTGCCCTTGAGGACACACGCCCCACAGGGCACCGGGGAGGAGCACCAACTTAACCTGCGCTTGATCCACAAATAAAAACCGCACGCGCTTTTGGCAGACACGTCTTTTATTCAGGAATACGTCTTGCCTCCTGGTTCCAGCTCCGCCGGGAGCGATGCCGTGACCGGAAGCACTCTCACTGAACACCCAGTGGGAGAACGGAGGAGCACCCCCCTGCCCCGCCTCTCTCAGAGCGTCCCCTGCGCACGGTCACGGCCCCGGTAGGGGAGGGCGAGCCCTCCAGCGTGATCACCCCTGCAGGTGCACGCCTCCCACTGAGGGCCAGGGGGCCTACTTTCCGTAGCCTCTATTTACTCTAATCATATTGTAGAAATCGGCTCTTCCACGCTAAGATTTACAATAAAAATAAAATAATTTGCTCTCTAAACTATAGTAGAAAGTTTGAAGTGTCTTAAAAACAATCTTCCGTACAACGGAAAAAGGCTTCTGTGTTCTGTTCTGGGTGACAGGGGACCCAAGTGGGCAGAGAGTAGCTGCATTGGCGTGTTGCTGGAGACACGGCGGAAGCACTTCTGGAACACGGAGACTTGGAAAGAGGACAGAGCCACTTTCTTCCCCTCGGGCTCGACGTCCAACTCTCCTCTCCCCGCGGGCTCTTCCAAGATGCTCAGGGCTGTTCTGCCGTTGCCTGGTCCTTGGCGGCGGCGACCAGCTCTGCGAGGGCGGGGAAACTCTTTATGTCCTTTGTTGCCAGGCCCATCTTTTGTATCTGCAAAGGCCATGAGAGCGAATAAAGGCCCCTCGGTTTCAGCTGAATGCAAACAAAAGACCCTTATACAGGACACTCAGAATATCCACCCCCAGCCTCTACGAACCCAGAAAAAGGGCGCTCCCCAAACACTGGTAGAGAATTTTTCCCTTCACAGCAAAGGACTGACTCATGGTCAAGCTTCACTTTTTGGGATTAAACACTTAGCATTCTAAGGGGCCAGAATGTTCATTTATCTCAGTCCGTCACACCAGGCTCTTATCAGGCATAAGAGCCTCTTTTGTGCACTGCAAAAGAAAATTCACACAAAAAGAAGAATAAAGTGGACTGTTAAGTGGCGAGTTTTCAAAAAAGCATTGGCCTGAGCTCTTCATTTCTTCACACGCCACCAACAACCTTTTCTCAGAACCTGATGAGCTACAGACGCTGTGGCAGAGCGAGCACCGTGGATTACTGTGGTAACCGAGTCGTGGCATACCGTGTCCCCGCTTTTGTTAACAGCAGCAACAAACACCATACACACACACACAGGGAAACCTGGACAAATCCACACCAAGTATATAGCATCTGTTGGCACGTTGCCACTCATCCTGGGGACAGTGCCATTTCTATTCGTCCCCCTGCTGCTACCCCCCACCCCTCCCCTTCTTTCTTTGGCTTCTTTGTTCTTCATTTTGCTCTAACAAATTGTCTTGCTTATAAAAAGACTCTAAGTTTCTCTTGTGAAATAAAGAAACAGGGCAATGGACTTCTGCCAGAATGAATCTCTAAATTCGCCTCAAAGCAGCAAAATGGGGATCTCCAGCGATGACCCTGATGTGCAAGAATCCTCAGTGAGCTAGAAAGCCGAGCATTTCCTGATGGAGATTTCAGGATCTCCCTTCTTTTCCTCTAGCAAAAGACCTTCCTGGAGGACCTGCGCTATACAGCGAACCTAAACAGTTTAGAAAGCCAGCTTCTCAAGGGCAAGGAGTTTCACGATCCTTGAGCAAGTCACCTCAGTGTGAACAGAGGCCTGGCACAGAACCCGTATCTGCCTCCTAAGTGACATTATGTTCAGTAATACTCATCCATCCGCTCTGACTCTAAAACCTGTGTTTGATGGAAAACAGAAAACTCAGCCAGGGAAGCCAAGAAGTTAGGCTCAGACGATTTCTCGAGCGCCACAATGAGAAATCCATGGGCTAATGCTTTTCTAGTTATTCTAACCACCCAATCACGTCTTGGGCACTTTCCAGGAGGTGGACAAATAGGACACCATCTCCGTCTGTGAGCCCACACTCGAGTGGGCCTCATGAACACGAGTGCCCCTGAGCCAAGCAGAGGTTGTCAGACCTCAACTGTCAATTTTTAGTATTTGGTTATGCACATCCTTTTCCTTCGGGTATTCTGGGGCCCTGACCCACTCTTCCAGCCCCAGGAGTGGATACCCCCCGCCCCCTCGGCAACACGTGTGGGTTCAGGTGAGCCGCCAAGAGACCGCTGGGCCCGCAGAACTCTCGTCAGATGCACCGGGCTGATGATGGCTTGGGGCTTACCTGCTCTCCCAAGTACTCCACATCCAAGGCCAACTGCAGCCTGATTTTGTCATCATCGCTCATGCCGCCGCCACTGGGACCGACGGGGTTGGCGGGACTGCTTTTCCTGGCTTGCTTCAGCCTTTTCAGGCTCTCCTCCATTTTCCTCACCGAGCTCAGAACGTCTGACACAGTTTCATAATACCTGGGGCATGAGACACACTCACTGGTGAGACCGAGGTGTTTGTGTGTATCCCCAAACAGATGAACTGGCTTTGTGGACCAAAACAAGAGGTTTTTGTTTTTGTTTTTAAGATTTTATTTATTTATTTGAGAGAGAGAGAATGAGAGACAGAGAGCAGGAGAGGGAGGAGGGTCAGAGGGAGAAGCAGGCTCCCCGCCGAGCAGGGAGCCTGATGCGGGACTCGATCCCGGGACTCCAGGATCATGACCTGAGCCGAAGGCAGTCGCTTAACCAACTGAGCCACCCAGGCGCCCCCAAATGGTCTTTCTTACTTGAAGGGTGAACATCTGGAGCTCATTCCCCAAGTGCAAGTAACAGATTTATTTATGGTCAGTTCTAGAAACAGTTCATCTTTTAAAGAATGGAAGCATTTAGATTTTTAAATAAAACTAATTACCTTCACAATATTCTCAATAAAATTTGCAAATTATAAATGAGTTGCATTTCAAAACTTTGTTTACAAGCTGGTTACTTGGCCCCTGGAATGTATTTGCCCACAAAAGCAATACTGTAACCCATTGTTATGCTCTAAATTAACCCACAAATGTCACTTAATTCAGAAGCAACTGAAATAAATCAAATACTATTGCAAAATAAACAAAATTCAATAATAAAATTGAATAATATACTTTTGACATAACTCAATGCTGGCATTTGGGGAAGAGTTGATTAAATGAGAAACGAGGAGACACTGAACCACAGGGATGCTGAAGACCTCCTTATACTTTCAAGGGCTGCAGGGTTTTAGACATGGAACACTTATCCACTGTAATGCTACTTCTGAATGTATGTTTTCTCTTCTAGACCGCGGTGGTCTCACCGGTACGAGCCTTTGATTACGTGGCGTGATCAGAGCCATTTTGGTCACAGCTGAGGAGAGAAAGGATCTTCAAAGAAAAAGTAAGCCTGGACTTGCAGAAAGAGGCCTGCAGGAGGCACATCACGGACAGCAAAGCCCGGGCGTGCCCAGAGAGGTACAGGACCAGTGTGAGCCCCGGGGAAGCCGGGAGGCGGTCTAGGTGGAGGCAGGCGGCCCGACGTGCTCTGGGTGCAGGGCGAGTGGAGCGAGCACAGCTCCACCATCAACACAGGAAGGACTGAGTGCCTATGCCCGACTCGTCTGGCGACACACTTATTTGATGGGCTCACCACCTTGTCCACATGCAACCCTCCGGTGGCCTCAGTGGTCTCTGACTCAGGGCTTGTCTAAGAACGCCTGGAATAACCTACTTCTCAGGTACTTACTTATGAGTGCTCTCAGAAAGTGCGCCTTCTAGCCACTGCTGAATTATTGCCCGTTTGAGCTTATCCTTGTGCCCACTCTGAAGCTGGTCAAATGGCTTCAGAGCACTGTCCACATAAGAGGAGGCTGTTGTTGGCACCTCCTGGAATAATGACAGTAGGGGTTAAAAGAATAAACAGAAAAGAACAGAGTAAGTTACTCAAACTTCAAAGAGATGCTACTGACGTACTGGTTTTAAGACACGTACAAACTCCCTCCCTCCCCAAAAGCACTAATGTCGTCTACAGAAAGATACCTGGAGAACAGATGGGGTCAAATGGAGTAAAGCAAGGGATAATCATGTTTAGAGCCAGAGACAGAGAGAGAAAGAGAACAAGCACTGAAGTATGCACCAGGGCGGACGGGGGTTGGGGGAGAGCTGTGTTCTAGACTGTGCATTTCTAACGAACTCCCACCAGGTGATGCTAATGCTGCAGGTCGACAGACCGAGAAGCAAGGATCTAGGGTGAGTAATTTGGCTTTCCTTAGTTTTAGTTTCTTCATCTGCAAACAAGGACACTGGCATTCACTTTATAGAAGAACAAATGAGAGTATCTGACCGACAAGCACCTGGTAAATATATTAACATTGTACTGAACCGACAGGGAAAGTTGGTAGGTTACTAAAAGAAAATTAATGTATTTGGGAATATAAAATAGGTCTCTCTCTCCCACTTTGAAGTGGGAGTTTCAAGTCAGACCAGAAAGAGAAAGTCAGGAGACAAAGTACTCTTGCTGGAAGCAGCAATCCTATCGCACACCCCAGATTTTAAAAGGAGAAGAATAACCACAAAGGAGATTTGCTCCAGCTCAGTTCAGCCCTCACTGCCTCCAGAACGCCGAGTCAGATGGGAAGGGCAACACAAAACGCCCATGCTTCGCACACACAGAGGCTGCCCTAAACCAGGGACGTGTGGCAGGAGCTCCAGGGACATTCCAAAACAGCACAACATCTTAGGAAATTTTCATAGCTCTTGAAAATAATTTTAGTAGTAAACTGCCTAACATCCAACTCTACAATTGTGAAAAAAGAAAATTCGAAGGAAAATTAAGTGACATGTAGCAAGAAGGAAACAAGCATATAAATGCCTGAAAATAAGAGTTCAGGAGGGGAAACTAAACCACTGGTCAAAATGAAGTCCCCAAATTGCCATTCTCTAAAGTGTGACAACAGGAGAATTCGACTTTGAACACCAGTGTGTGTGCATGCTTTTCCATCTCATAAATGCTTTCCATATTCTTTTTTTTTATTTGAATTTTTTTTTTTTTTTAAAGATTTTATTTATTTATTTGACAGAGACAGAGATAGCGAGAGCAGGAACACAAGCAGCGGGAGTGGGAGAGGGAGAAGCAGGCTTCCTGCCGAGCAGGGAGCCCGATGTGGGACTCGATCCCAGGACCCTGGGATCATGACCTGAGCTGAAGGCAGACGCTTAACGACTGAGCCACCCAGGCGCCCCAATGCTTTCCATATTCTTAATGCAGCTTTTTATCAAGTTAAAGAACGGGAGAAGGCAGGTACTTCCTAGGACGCAGCTTTTTATCAAGTTAAAGAACGGGAGAAGGCAGGTACTTGCTAGGACAATATGAAGGGAACAAAGGTAAATTCAATTTTTTTCAAATATAAGATACAAAGACCAAGAGTATAGGAGTTAAAGATATTTTATTAAAATGCTTTCTTTTGAAACAACTATCTTTCCTTAAGGCCAAAGGAATCCAGACAAGTCTGTACTGTCTGAGTCCAATTCCCAAAGCAGCTGACCATAACCATCCACCCGTGGGATCCCCTTCTCACAAACAGAGATTCTTTGGATGAGGCCGATTAGGTCGGCCTCAGGCTATCCCTGGGAACCTCTCTCTGGGTCTTGCTCAACCACTCCCTCCCTCAGTGGCTTTCCTGCTATATATTTCCCCACCTCAAAATTCTTTTCAGTGAGTGGTGCTGACCTTATTGGTTCTTCGGTAAAGCCTAGGGACCTCCAGGGCACTTTTCAGGTAACTGAAGCAAGACTCACTTAAGTCTTGGATGATCCTGTTACTCAAAGCAGGAACACAGGCTGCCAGAGACGTCTGGGAGTCCTCCAGGGCTGCTGTTGAGACATAAAGATTGAATGTAACCACTTACTCAGGCCCAGATGTGAATCTTAATTTAGACAGTGTCATAGTATTTACAGAGTGTACGATAATAAATCAAATCAAATCATTAGAATTAAACAAAGTATCTCAGAGAAGTTAAAATCTCAGAACAGAATATAGAAACAACCAAGGATTTACAACTAAAGAAGAAATGGCTAAATATATCCTACAGTCTCTAAAGTTTTATTTTAAATTATTTCTTACCCAAAGATTTGCTGAGTCTAAAGATTGATTTTTACCTGAGATAGAAGAAAAATTCTTAAAGCCAATCATTTCAAGTTTTGGCTTGATTGTTTCCAAGAGTTCTGGAAGCTGAAATAAATATGCACTTTATATATTCAGTTACTTTTTATAAATCAAAGGAAGAGGCAATTCTATTTGCATCTATAAACTCTAAAATATTGTTAATGAATGATGAAACTAAACTCAGAACTTTCTGTCATTTTCATCAGAAGAAAGTAAAACTCCTAACGCTTTCACAATAACAGAAGCCAACAACATGGGAAACAGCCAGGGCACAGCTATTAACAGGCCCAGGGAATATGAAAACCATTACCAAAACAAGCTTACAATGAAGACCATGTTTTTGCTCAAAACACGTATTTGTTCAAGCACCACAAAATATTTAAACGGGAGGAAAGCAGAATTAAGTACCAGAGCATTCAAACACAAATTCGGCCCAAAAAGCCCTCTTAATTAATGATAAAGGCCCCAAACATGGACCCCTATCCAGGGAAAACAGAGGGATAAGTTTTAACAGTTGAGCACTTTCAAAGTACAGCTGACGAAGTATGTGGTCAAGTGGGGTGGAGACAATTAAGCTCCAACCCGTTAGCGATCATGGTGCACGGAGTACGCAGAGCTAGCGAACTGTGGAGCATGGCTCGCTCGGGGCTCGTGACAGCGCCACCAGAAAGGAGGCAGAGGCCCCAGGTTCACACAGTTCGCGACACGACTGGTAAGCAAGGAGGAAGAGAGCCCACCTCGGTGGGGGGGGGACGCTAGAGAGACACCTCGGAGGGCAGACGAACACGTTCTCTTGAGGTACCCTCGGGCCCCACGATTCTAAGCCCCACGAGGCCAAATGGCACCAGATCTTTGCACGCACTGCTTTCTGTGGCAACACTGAAGCGAGCACCTGGGATTCTTCCGGGACACAGGCCTACCTGCTCCTGAAGCTTGTCCAGGTCTGCGACCACATATACAAGTTGCGTACTGGAAATGGAGACCACGGGCTTTGTTTCCGAAGGGGCACTTCCTTGGTCTTCACCATTTCCTTGGGTAACTGAAGGGTCTTTGCTACCAGTTACCAAAAGCTTTTTAATATCCTTGGCACTTTCATTAGAGATGGGCCTGAGTAAAAGCTGAAAAACCATTTCAATGATTAATTTTCCACTAGCAGTATCTCTGAGCTTTTGTTTTTGTGGGTCAACAACTCACCTAAAGTGATAGCTATCTACAAAGTATTCACTACTACCAATGGAAGTACAACAAGGAGAAACGAGGTCAAGCTACAGTCCCACATGTACTTATCCTCCTTAAGCCTGTGTCTAACTTCTGGTGATAAAAAGTAACTGGCAAAAATAAAATAGGTCCCTGAACTGAACGAAAATTAATTTCTGGAACATCACAATTAAAAAAAAATTCATTAACTCTATTAGGTAAATCATTTACCAAGTGTGCTTGGGAACTTTATCATTATAATTAGTAAGAATAAAAAAAAACAAAATCTAAGCCTCATTATGCTTCAAATAATACAAATGAAAAGTGTTACTTGTATCATGTATTGTTACAAGGGAAAAACCAGAGAGAAGTACCCTGGCATCAAGAAAAAAATGGAATAATGAATGTTCAAGGCAAAATAATTTATTAGAGACGTAGGAATTACTGGCTGGTAAGAATGCAACAGGCAGCCGACTCAGACCTAACTGAAGAATCTCACCAACCCCTCTGTGCTGCCAGAACCGACTGCACAGTGGTCTTCAGAAACAGCCTGATGGGCAGGGTGGTCTGCTAAGACCCTTCTGAGCAGAGGAAGGCAAAAGCGAAAAAGAAAACTAGCTTCCACTGAGCTCCCAGGATCTGCCAGACATTTTTGTCAACAATTGGTTGGTCAACAAATATCTCTTTATTCCTCACAACCACATATAGAAGCTGTTTTCCCATTTTACAGATGAAGAATTTGGGACTCCTAGGGCTAATTTTCCCAAGGTCACAAAATATAAAAGTGGCAGCACCTCAGTTGGATTCTGACTAAAGCCTGTGCTCCTTCCATTGGAACACTCAGCAACACGACGACATGCTCATCTTCTACTCCAGCTAGGACTGTATTCCTTCCCATACATGAGGCTTCTTTGTGCTGTCCTTCTGAGAGCCAACACATGCCTACGCCTCTTTTCATACTCATCATACACAATGAACCAGCTGCATGTCTGTCTGTCACCTGAGACTGTCCAGGAGGCAGGGCCTTTCTGAGACCGAGATGCTGGTGTGGGGCCTGCCTGCGTGCTCAGCACTGAGCTGTACGAACACTTTATGCACAATACCTAATAAATCTTCATAGGCATGTAGATATTCAATATATTCAAATACCTGACAAGGAAGAAAGTAGGATATTTTGAAATGAAAGAAAGGTTCATTAATTTTCCTACTTTTTAATCTCGACAATCGTATGATTTTTTTAAACTTCCAAATACGATTAAAATGCGTGTATTTTTATTTCTATGCCTTTTCATTAAAATGAGCATCTTTGTTTTAATTTGGAGGCACCTCAAAGATTCTGGCTTTGAGGAGGGAAAACGAGCTCGCTTTCCCACAAGACAAAGCGCTGAGTATGGGATTGTAAACAGCCGTAAAGGCAAAGGGAAAAGGAAACAACCACTGGCTACGAACTGGAGAAATGTGCCTACTGTCGTCCTCCAGGTTAACCTCTCATGACAACAGGGCCTTGTAAAATTTGAGCACGTTCAGCGCCGGGTGTCGGGCACTCCTGACAGCTCGGCTCCGGAGGAACGGCGCGGCCAGCCCTCACCTCACTGACGAACACGGAGTACCGAGCCAGGACCTGCAGCGTGAGCCTCCACAGACGAGGCACCAGAACCGGCAAGAACATCTCGTCTGACCAGCACCTCTGCAGGCTGCCCCACGTCCTGTGCGAAGCCAAGAGGCAAAACGAACTGCCAGCTGCAAGAGGAAACAGACACGGAAAGAATCGCAGGCAACTCAGGGCTCAATTCGAGTATTTTCAACGTGTAATTCAGGAGTGAAGAAAGTGGCCATAATCCAGCCACGCTACCACAGCTTCTGTGGCAATGCGTTTTCTCATTTTACACAATTCCCCCTCCCAGGTGTTTGATAATTATTCAACACAGACAGCATTCAGAAATCATCAGTTAATAGGTATTTTATACCACATCAATAAACGTAAGCAGGGAGTGGCGGTCACTTGCGAGGGTTTCGACTTTGGTTTTGAATTTGTCCTGTTTCATTTGTCTGCTCTTCTGTTCCTCTACCTGAACACACTACTCATATACAGGAAGTCAATTACATATGACCATGTTTGGCAAAGACAGGTGAACACCAACTCTGAGGCTAAAACCGCACAGTCCACGCCGACTTAGCCACCCAGAAACGAGCAGAAGTCTCCCGGGGCAGCCTAGAGATCTGTGTGGCTACAGAAACATCCGTACAGTATGTGAGTGGCCACCGGGAATGACTACATGACACAAGATTAATGAGGCTGTTGAGGAAAGCAAGCATGTCTGGAACCCACCAACCACTGTCACCTGCTCACTATCCCAGGATGGAGGCCAAGGGCTCTGGAGGCCTGGGGCAGGAAGCCCAGCTGTGAATCATCCCCCAGGAGGGAAGGGCCATCCTGATGTTTTACCTCTGCCTGGGATGAAAGCAGATGGAAGCCAGTTTGCTATACAAAGAGCTGATCACCAGGGGCTAATCTCCCTGCCGTGTTCTATTCAGAAACAAAAATAAGGTATGTTTCCTATATTCTTAAAGCATTTTGTTGTTGTTGTTTTGTTTTTTGTTTTAATTTTATTTTAGGGACGCCTGGGTGGCTCAGTCGGTTAAGAATCTGCCTTCAGCTCAGGTCATGATCCTGGGGTCCTGGGATTGAGTCCTAAATTGGGCTCCTTGCTCAGCAGGGAGCCTTCTTCTCCCTCTCCCTCTGCCTCTCCCCCTGCTTGTGCTCACTCTGTCCCTCTCTCTGACAAATAAATAAAATATTAAAAAAAAATTTTTTTTAATTTTAATTCCAGTGTAGTTAACATACAGTGTTGTATTGGTTTCAGGCGTACAATAGTAATTCAACAACTCTGTACATTACTCAGTGCTCATCATGTAAGTGTCCTCTTAATCCTCATCACCTATTTCCCTCTTCCCCCCTCCCCTCTGTGACCATCAGTTTGTTGTCTACGGTTAAGAGTCTGTTTCTTGGTTTGTCTCTTTTGTTCCCTTTGCTCGCTTGTTTTGTTTCTTAAATTCCACATGAATGAAATCATATGGTATCTTTCTCTGACTGACTTAATTCACTTAGCATAATACTCTCTCGGTCCATCCAGGTCCTTGCAAATGGCAAGATTTCCTTCTTTTTTACTGCTGCAGCAACATCCGATTATTTTTACCACATCTACAAAGAATGAAGCTCTATAAAAATCTGATTTCTTTTAGCCTCTTTAAAAAAAAAAAAGAGAGGTTGAGTTAGGTCTTTAAGGTCTAACCTACTATATGACAGGACAAGGTCCAAGTACCCTCAGAATGGGACGGTCTAGGTGACTGGCTGAGCTTCAGTCACTCACTCAGTGACATCCTGCCATTGATCACTTTCAGGAAGTTACCTGGAGCGTCCTCCAGTACATCTGTAAGTGCTGCTTCTAAGGATCCTGCAATTTCTCTGAATCTGAGATAAAAACAAGAGCACAGGTTAGGGTTTATGCAGCTGCTAGATGCCCTTCCCTACCTGTTCTCCCTCCTTCCCGAGGACCAGGGACTTCCTCCACCGGCTTGTCCCTCAGTCTGACGCTCTTAGCGATGCCCAACCAGCCCTAGAATGCCTATTCTCCCGAACGTTTTTTTTTTTAACTGAACAAGGAATACATTTCTCTTGATTCAGGCGCTATTATGGAGGGTTTCTCTGTTATTTGCAGCTGACTGCAATCACGACTAACCCCATGTTTTTCAAACTAAACAAACTGCCCATTAAGCTGCCATCAAGAAGCCACGCCCGGCAAGTCCCACCTGCCTGGCCTCGTGCCGTCCCCTTGCGGCCACGAGACTATGGGTATCTCCACTCCATCTCCATTCGCGCTATCACAGCAGAGTAAATGTCCCCAAACTAAGGAACAGGGAGGCTGTACTCTGTATCTTTGTTTGCAAGCTTGAGAAAAGCCACCGAGGGTAGCCAGTTAGCACAACGGCTGGCCGCTCGTGCTCTGCGGCGCCCGCCCTGCTTCCGGTCAGTTCTCCTGTGTCTCAGCTGGCCCGCTGGCCATCGCGACCTCCTGTCCCCGACTCCTGTTTTAATAACTGATGCGGGCACATGTTTAGGACTTTGTGACAGGAAAGTGTGTATTTTTTTTTTTAAAGATTTTATTTATTTATCTGACAGAGAGAGACATAGCGAGAGAGGGAACACAAGCAGGGGAAGTGGGAGAGGGAGAAGCAGGCCTCCCGCCGAGCAGGGAGCCGGATGCGGGGCTCGATCCCAGGACCCTGGGATCATGACCTGAGCCGAAGGCAGACGCTTAACGACTGAGCCACCCAGGTGCCCCGAAAGTGTGTATTTTTTAAACTAGCTGCTCAGGGAGCATTCTGGTTCCTGGCAGTGTTAACTCCCCCTGTCGTACCTTTCCCAGTATGCTCCTGTCACCTGCCAGTTCCCTATGGCAATCGACTCTGACACACGCTCAGGATTAATTCACCTAATTGAGCAGTTTGGTTTGTTTATAGTACATGTGTGCTTTTTAAAAGCAGTTCAGAGACGGAGCTGAAGGAAAATGCCTGAAGGGTGAAAAGAACAGCACGTCAGACGGAGCTGCCAATGACGGGCACGGAGGGGGAAACATGTGACAGGCAGAAAGGTGGGGCAAGAGAAGGGAGCCCAGGAGGCGAGCCCAAGAATGGCAGCTAAAGGGGGCAGTGTGACCCTGCGCCCAGTGAAGGTGGAAGGGGTGCTCTGCAGCGGGGAGAGCACACCGGCCCCAGGTCTCAGCCTCAGGCCCCTCAAATCACTTTTTCCAAAATCTATACAAAATACAGAGTAAGCTCTGACGGGGAAAAGGCCTGAGAGCTAACCCGGCACTGTGCACAGCTGGGAAAACCCAGAAGCCAGCTCCACGGTCCCGAGTAAGGCAATGGTTACATAACGTGTGGCACATTCATTCTAGAACGTGGTATGGAAAGAGGTCGGCTTGAATCTACACAGCAGTAAGAGCAAATATAATTTAGTAGTAAGGAAAGACAGAGGACACAAAATGATGTGTACATTTATGCTAACAACGAGAACGCACCAGAGAAGGTGTGAGAAGGTACCAGAACCAAACACAGCAGGACCCCTGGCATCTCGCCGCCTTCACACAGCCCTTTGCCTGTGCGACCAAGTGGGAAGACCCGTGAAAGTACAACTGCCCAGGTCACTTGACAGAGCTGTGCCTCCCCAGCCAGGAGCCCAGCACCAGCCCCTCGCGCAGCTTTGCTGGGCAGCTAACTTCCAGGATTGAAGGGACAGGTTACAGTTCTTTTTGCAAAACAGCAAAAAGTGAGAGGTGACTTTGGTGGAACTTGAGAAGCCGTGCTGTAGTTTGTACGTGGACATGTGATGCCATTCTGCTCTTACCAGAATATTTGTAACAAGGGCAAACCCCAAATAAAACGTTTCTAAATTCTTAAATTTGGGCTCAGGGAGGGTCTCTGGACACATTCCTCCATGCACGCTACAGGTCTGCAAGCATCCAAAAAGCGCTTATGTAAAACCGATGCGGAAATGAGACACCCCCTCTGCTCGGCAGGATCAGAAACGTCGCAGGCCGCATCTCTACACATCTCTACTTTGTGTCCACGCACACTTGAGGGTAAAGGGAAAGTGCGTCAATGCCGTAGAGACTCCACATCATTAAGGAGGAGATATACTATGTTCAGCCTGTACCAAATACAGTATATACCATGAACGTTCTGGGAGTATGTAAGGTTCTAGAAAGATTTCAATTAAAAAGGATCTACAACTTCGCCTCTGGCATTTAAGGGGCTAACACCAGTTTCTAGGTAGCCACTGGCTTATGACAATTTGACACGATTTGGGTCATATTTTCATTTATTTTCTTCCTATGCGAAACTAAGTCCTAAAGCTACTTTGCAATACACCTTTAAGAACGAGTGAAAGGCAGCCCCAGCAGGGTATCAGGAACAGTACGGGGGTACAAGTGTGCTCCCAGAAGGTGCTGGCTGGGAGTGCTACCTTTTTTCCTAAGATGATGGGGATGCAGGCCTATGGTCAGACCAGGAGCATAAACCTGTCCCCAAGAGTGGTGCAATATGAATATTTCTCCCTATAAACATGTCAAAGCATACCACCCCACTGGCTTTTAGCTTCCTTTAAGTGACCCTGAAGGGAATCAGATAACAATACAACTCTGACCCTAGTCATGTTTGTGGAACTCTCTGTCATCCCTCAGAGTAAACAATTCGATACCTGGCAAAAAATCAACAGAACAGTCCTACGAAGTATTACTTGAATTTATTTTTAAAATGGAAAAACAAACATATCGAATACAAGCTCCACACTTTGTAACTCAAACATCATTTTTAAAAATTTCACAAATTTTAAGTGAGACAGTTTACAAAGAAAAGTTAACCAATCCCTTTGAATGCTTAATGTTAAAATCTGGTGAAGGTACAAAATCTTTTAGGGAACTGGCTGACTTTCAACATAGTTTCAGCTCAGTTGCCAGCCCCGTGAGAACCAACTGAAGGCAGGCTGTGCTGTTGCTGTGGGGCCCAGCCTGGATCGGCCCCGAGCTTGGCTGAAACAGCCCCTGGATCTCCAGGAGGGCGGGTCCAGGAGGTGGGGTGACAGTGCCAGATCGACACGTGTGGGGTCACGGGATCTGGGGGAACAACTAGAAAGAGAGTTTGGAGGCAGTAGCCAGGACGATGTGATGTGATGTACTGGGCGTCTAAAGCAATCTAACTTAAAACACGGACTACAGAAGAAATGGTAAAACGTGGACATCTCTTCTCTACTGCAGTCTTATACTGTGACATAATGCTTCACTATTTTAAATTCTGCCCCTGAATCAAAAGGGCTTCTTGCCCTGGCTTGATCTTGATTATCCTGTAACAACTACTTCCAGTGTGGTCCATGAATACCTTAGATGAACAAATCCTTTATTTCCTACTCAGAGACAAGCTACGCAGTGATGTGACCTTGGCAAATTAAGCATAAAACACAGTGTAGATGAGAAAGGGCATCTCCCTAATGTTCTGATAACTGTGATTTCATTATCAGAAGATGATTATATACATTCTCAATCACGGCAAGCAATTATAATCAAGGTACCGAATCCTTAATATATTTCCCTGTGATTTTCCCTCAGAACCTCAGGGAAAAGGACTGCATCATAATGAAAGCACTCAGCGATTTAAATAAAAAGCCTACGACTCTTTACAGACCATTCTATCTAAAACACTCTAGTTAATGTCATTCTGTGAAGGAACCTACCATGACCTCATTCAAGAAACTCTGCTAAAATGCCTGATCTCATCTATTTTTCTAGCAGAACATAGGTTGCTAAGAGTTTATCCCAAATTTCCCCAAATCGTTTATAGAAGCCTTATTTACGTAAGTGCTATCATCATGACATCTGTTAGAAGCGTCACCATTTTCCAGAACAGAGAGAACAAATATCAAAGATTATAAAGAAAAGCCAAAATAATAACTAGGATTCTCATAAACTGACTGATGGAACCAGATATAAAGCATACTTAAGGCTGCGCTTCTCCCTACTCTCTCTGGGGGAAGGAACTGTCCAGAGAAGCCAACAACAGATGTGGGCCGGTCCGCTGTTTGACAGAGGCAGGTGGTGAGAAGGGGAAAAGGGAAGGAGTGTGCTGCCCCAGAGACCCTCCTGTCTGCCTCTGTGTGATGGATGAGGACATACTAGTCGTGTGCGTGGAGCTGGGGGGCATGGAGCTGGGCCTGATGTCCACCTCAGTCCGAGGCTGCTGTTCTCAGCCCTCTAATTACGAAATTATCTTTCTGTCGTGCAAGCCAGAACTTTGGCAATCAAGACACTTCTTGCATGTTTCCATTTTAGATTCTGCTTCTCAAGGAGTGGTACAATGATCTCAAAGAAAGGGCTGTTAAGTGGAGCAACACCCTGAATTGGTATTCAAATGCCACTTCAGAAGACTGGAGGTGGGGGGAGGAAATAAATCACTGACCTTATTTGAAAATAAACAGGTAAATTCCACTTATTATTGAAGCTGTGATAGGCAGGATGTGCTCTTAATCTTCTCACACTGGCCTGTGATCCACATTGCTGTTCAAATGCTCTCACAAAATCCATACTTATGGTGTATTTCTAAAGAAAGAACAAACAGGTGAAATTTTCACTGTAAGCAAACTAACCAGGGAAGGGAACAACATACAGGGAAAGCTGTAATCAAGATAAAGAAGGTGAACACTTGTACTCCATTTCCAGAGCTGATAGGGACCTGAAGAGATCGTCCTTCCCAGGTCCTGACTTGAAGATCAGGTCATGCCCAAAGTGGTTCGGTGACCTGCCCAAGGTCTTACGTGACAAGCCCACCTGGAAACCCCGTGCTCTGTAAACGACAGCTCTCTCATAGTCTAGGGAATCCCTAACCTAGTTCCTTGGAACTGGAAGAGACTGTAGATTAAAGTGGTATCATTTTCACTGCTGCTCCAGGAGGAGGAGAAGTAGAACATTTTTAAAAGGAAAGAATCAAACCAGGTGAGCAATCACGTCATTTCTACAGACGGAACTGCACGAAAGCTGACGGGGGGGCTCACACCACCATGAAGAGCAGAGGCTGAAACTTACTCAGCATTCACCACCTGTGTGCTGTGCTTAAAACTGTACTGTTTAATTTCACCCACAAAACTACCCTACCAGGTAACTACTGCTAGTATTTTAAGGATGACGTTTCCTCTTCCGTTTAGGCTCAGAGAGAACTTACCCAAAGACAAAGCTAATAGAGGACACAGAACCGTGGTCAGTGAGTAGAGCAAAACCGCAGATACTGTGAAATGCGCATTCCCTCGTGGGTACTCTAGGCCTTGAGGGCCCAGGCTCTAAGGAGAACCTGTGTGGACCTTCCATATACTTCTTAATTAAGAGGGGCTCAATTCTGGCTCACCAAACCATTCACCTAAATATGCTGAAGTCTGTGTGTAGGCCAGAATTGTAGTGCACTCAATACTACACGTTTTTAATTTCTTTCAATTGGTCTGAGCAACACTTACGGAATCCCCTGAGTGTGGTCTAGGCGTGTGGAGTTGAGACAAAAGTATTATTCACCCTTTTGGGATAAAACGTATTCTACCTCTGCACATGATGGGATGCTAAGTCCTTTAGCATACACTGATCACCTTCAGTTCTAAAGTTCTAGGACTGTTCCATGTAAAATCTTGATCACAAATCCTGACACAAAAAACTTGTCACATTAATGGTTTTTTGTGTGTCCACGCTTTATTTTGCATTTTTTAGCAAAAGGCTGGACTCTGGATTTCTAGTCACAGACTTAAAGAATCAAATACAAAAATGTTTCTCTCTTCACAAGAAGCATGTCACAGCAATGCTGAAAGCTGAAAGCATTTTTTGAAAGAAACTGACAGATGCTATGCTTGCTTGAAATAAACCCACCAACATTAAGTACTGGTTTAGAATTCTAAAATCAAAGTGCTATGAGAAAATGTCATTTCTGAGCTGAAACATCTCCTGAGCCTAATGTGATCAGTACAATTCTCTCGAGTACAGCAAAACGTAAAGGGTCTTAAATGGTTCATGCCTAAGACCGCTATTTCAGTCTGCTTACAGTACCTATTTTTAAAAGCCCTATTTTTTAAAATCATAAAGATCACTGTCGCACAACTTACTGAAAGTGACACCAAGTGATCATATTGTTCAACACTGTTAACATCACACAATGAGTCAAGAGAAGAAGTGGTATTTCTGGAATAATAAAGCTCCAAAGTTGTTGTCTTACCTGTTTTTGAAGTCGACCAGGCCCCAGGTTCACCACACTTACTGTCTGCCTCTCTACACTTTAAACATTAATAAGGATTTTGCAATCCAATCAATACCTTTTGTTTTCCTTAAACATTATATAGTACAGATCTGCAAACCTAACTTTTCATGGAAAACAACTGCAAGGAGACTGGTTTTTAATGATCTTTAGGATCTTTTTTTTAAAGTGAGAGAATAACATATGTATCTAGTCACAACGGTGTTTAGACTGTATTTTACTACACATTCTCAAATTAAAATATTTATTTCCAAAAGTAACAGAGACTATTACTTGGAGGAAGTTAATTTTTAAGTAAATGCTCACTCACGAACTCAAATTTTTATTTTTTAAAAAACCACAGAACCAAGACTATGCAGAAAACATGATTAGTCTCAAGCCTCTGGTTAATATCTTCAAGAATCAAGATGATGGAGGAAAAGGTACCTCGTGAAATGCATCAGGATTCCCAGGATTAAAAAGAGAAGGCAACTTTTCTTCTAATCCTCGTACTATCTCTGGCCAGACAGAGTTCACCAAAAAATCATATCCAGGAACAGTATTGCCTTTTTCACTGTAGGACAAGAGCAAAATCTCAGTCAGATACACTGTGCTCTTCGATTTACAAAGGGCGAAATTCTATTGTGGTGTTTTACTAAAAGTTCCTCAGCCTAAAACGTACTTCAACCTTTACAAAAAACTCTTTGTCAATTAGCTGGTTTATAGCCCCACACTTCTATTTTACTCCTTGATCCCAGTCTCACCTTGAAGCCAGTATGTCCTCTGTATCCTAACTCTTCTATTTATCATACAGGAGAACAAGCTGGTGTCAAATTGCTTTGGCACGATTCCTCCCCTAATTAGGCCACCATATTTACACTCTATCTTGGAAAAGAAGTAGTCTAATAACACAAGAAAAGCAATCTTTGTGTTCAATCTTAATACTGCTAAGCCCTAAAGCGCTGTAAATTATGCTAATTTACCAATTACTAACAGCTTTGTGAAGATGAAGCTATCTCCAAGATCACCTTCAGTTCTAAAATTCTAGGACTGTTCCATGTAAAATCTTGATCACAAATCCTGACACAAATAACTTGTCACATTAATGTTTTTTTGTGTGTCCATGCTTTATTTTGCATTTTTTAGCAAAAGGCTGGACTCTGGATTTCAGTCACAGACTTCGATGAGAAGCAACGCTGAGATGAAGCATCCACTTGGGAGCCAGAGTGCCTGGGTTCAAATCGTGTGCCCTCTAACCTCTATGTTTTGTTGTCTTCATCTTTAGATGGAGATGATAGGATACGTATCATAGGATCATCATATGGGTTAATATCTATAAAGCATTTAGGCTGGGGCCCAGCATACAGTAAGTGCTATGTTAGTAATGCTTACATACATAAGTAAATAAGGCAGATTCCTTAAGTTTCTACTGAACTTAAAGACACATAAATATCTTCGAAGCAAATACCACCTCGATGACTACCCACTCTGATTGTTGTATATTGCTTAATATGCTCTATTTTAAGATAATTTTCTTTAACAATGGTCAGCAATTCAGTATATGTTCTTATTTTAGAAAAACTGGGAGTTTTGTAGCTAAGTTGCGATAGCAAATTGCTGGTATTAAAAATAAACAGAAAAATGCTTTCATAATTTTCCTGCTTAGCAAAAATTATCAGGAAAGACAAACTATCAAGGAAGCTATACTTCACTTCCAGAAAGGGATATCAAATAATCTTACTATAGTTCAGTATTGATAAGAAATCACCGGTGGGCTGGAGGGCTGGGGAGGGCAAAGAAGATGCCTACTTCCCACATACCCAATGCCACACTTCACGGTAGTATATATACTTTCCCTCATACTAAGAACTAGCTCTATTAAGGTATCTAGAGAAGGAAAAAATAACATTAAGGATTTTAAAACTACAGATGCACAGAGTATAAGCAATATTAAATGACAAGATCTCCTCATCCCCCAAGTTAAATATCTACTTAAAGCCCCAAAGAGAAAATTTACATCCTCAAGATTAACAGTTGAAACAGATGGCAAATGAGAAAAGTGAATCCTTATTCTTCGGAAGATAAATTCTGCATGCTGCTGGTGCCAGATTATAAAGGGCACATACAGATGCGACACAGGGAAAAAGAAAAGAATGGACAAGGGAAGCACCGAGCCGAGCGTGTGGAAACCTGAAGGCAGGAGCTAAAGCAAGGGGTGATCGGGGACGGCATAATCAGGGTGCTTAAGGCAAATGACGACCTACCAAGGTACAATTTAGATTTCTCAGTGGGGCGCCTGGGTGGCTCCATCAGTTAAGCATCTGACTTTGGTTCAAGTCATGATATCGGGGTCCTGGGATCGAGCCCTGCATTGGGCTCCCTGCTCAGCGGGGAGTCTGCTTCTCCCTCTCCCTCTGCTCATGTTCTCGTTCTCTCTCTCTCTCTCCCCTCCCTCTCACATAAATAAATAAAATCTTTAAATAAAAAAAATAGATTCCCCAAATTTCTGAGGCTTCTACGTGAATTCTGCCTCACTGAAAACTGTGGAAGAACTTGCAAAGCTTTGAAACTTGACATTTCAGGACCAAGACTAGCCCTGTCAAATCTAATGACTGGTTGTTTCCTAACTGTGGCTTCTTTAATTTTACATCATGACTTTTTTTTTTTAAGATTTTATTTGAGAGCAAGAGAGCACAAGCCAGGGGTCGGGGCAGAGGACAGAGGGAGCAGCAGACTCCCCGCTGAGCATGGAGCATGACACAGGGCTTGATCCCAGGACCCTGAGATCCCGACCTGAGCAGAAGGCAGATGCTCCACCAACAACTACCCAGGTGTTCCTACATCATGACTTCTAAATTCTTATGTGAAATCCAAATCCACAAAATCTTCATGATTACTAAATGCAAGTGGCAAAACCAGGCTTTCTCTAAAATCATGTAGTAGAAATAGGGTACTTCAATGGTCAGGTGGCATATTTATTACCTCAGATTTTTCTTTTCAAAGAACAAAAATTCAAGACCAAATATATTGCTTGCTTACTTCATAAAGATTAGGGACCTCAGTAGCCTTTCTAATGCTGAAAATAGATTAATTCTTCCATTTTGCAGACACTGGGTAGTTGCTATCTTGAAGATGCTGCGCCAGGTGTGGGCAGTGCAGAAGGGGAGCACGAGCTAAGCCTATGGACATCAGTCCTCAACAGAGGTAAAAGCCAATGTGCCCTGGAATCCAGAGGATGTGCTTAATGCTGAACATCAGGATAAAAGATGGTCTCTTGAAAGAAGTGGTATCTCAGGCATGCCTGGGTGGCTCAGTAGGTTAAGCATCTGCCTTCGGTTCAGGTCATGATCCCTGGGTCCTGGGACTGAGCCCCATATTGGGCTCCCTGCTCAGTGAGGACCCTGCTTTTCCCTCTGCCCCTCCCTCTGCCTATGTTTTCGCTGTAATAAATAAATAAATAATCTAAAAAAAAAAAAAAAGGAGTGGTATCTGAGCTGGAGCTTCATGTGGAGTGACAGGTCAACAGAAAGACAAAGAGAATGGGAAGGGCAGGAGACAATGAGGGAAAACACAGAAGCACACAATACAGATGTTCCTCGACTTATGACAGTTAGCTCCTAATAAATCCATTGTTTTTTTTTTTAAAGATTTTATTTTATTTATTTATTTGAGAGAGAGAGAGCACAAGAAGGGGTAGGGTCAGAGGGAGAAGCAGACTCCACACTGAGCAGAGAGCCCGATGCGGGACTCGATCCCGGGACTCCGGGACCATGACTCAAGCCAAACACAGTTGCCTAACCAACTGAGCCACCCAGGCGCACCCAATAAACCCACTGTTAATTTGTAAATCTCATAAGCTGAAAATGCATTTAATACCCCTAACCTACCGAACATCAGAGCTCAGCCCAGCCTACCTTAAATGTGCTCAGAACACTTACAGTATTGTACAGTTGGGCAAAATCATCTAACACAAAACCTATTTCACAATAAAGTATCTGATATCTCATGTAATTTACTAAACACTGCACTGAAAGCAAGAAACAGGATGGTTTAAGTGTGTTGGTTGTTGATCCTCGTGACTGCGTGGCTGCCTGGGAGCTGCGCTCGCTGCCTCTGCCCAGCATCACGAGAGAGGATCCTACTGCAGATCACTAGCCCGGGAAAAGATCCACAGTCAAAATTTGAAGTACGGTTTTTACTGAATGCATATCACTTTTACACCATTGTAAAAAGTAAAAAAACCGTAAGTGGAACCAATGTGAAGCCAGGGATCTTCTGTACAAGGTGTGTTAGGGAAGATCAAGTGCTACTGTCTGGCCGGGAACCACAGTGGTATGGGGGAAAGTTTCACAGTAGAAAGTTTTACAGTGGAGAACCACCGAGGACCAGAGCATCAAGGGCCTCACAGGCTGCGCAAGGAAGACTGGATGTTCCTCTATGAGCGATGAGAAGCCACGAAAGACTTAGGAAAGCAGCAGAGTTCTGGGCAGATGGGACAGCCAAGGGTTGCAATGAAGGACAGGTGGAGCTGGGGAGACCAGGTGGGGAGAGTCTGCTATCCTGGACAAAAGACGACGACAAAAGTCTGGACTGGTGATGGTTGAAGGTAATGGAGTATTCAGGAAACAGAACTGGAAAGCCATGGAAATGAAATAAGAGAGGGAAGGAAAACCGAACATGACTTTAATCACAATCAGTATAAAACCTGTTGAATTAAACTGAATTGGTATTTCTAGACAGATGATGACATCAGAATAATGGAAGGAAACGAATCTTGATTTCGAACCTGATGAAGGAGAAAGTGTAGAGAAGGGAAAAGTAGAGGCTCTGGAGTCCGAGAAATGTAACCTTCAAGATTCATCCCACTGTTAGTTTCCTTCCCTGTAAACCCAGGCTAGTGATACCCGCCTCACGGCACTGGTAACAAACAGGAAAGTGCCCACGTTCCCAGTTCAGACAAGATAGCCAATGATCAGCAGCCCACTAGGAGCTAACGGGCGGTTACTAAACGGAGCTGAGGTACAAGCACAGCAGTTTCCATCACCTTGAGATGGTTCCTCCTGTGACTTCTCGAAGAAGGCGGCAGTGGTGAGGAACAAACCCCAGGAGCTTATCATACATGATCTGAAGGCCGTTCGGATGAGACTCGACAATCTGCTCTACGATCACCTATTGGAAGGAAGAGCATTTTTTTTAAAGCACCTAAAAGAGAAGTATGAACTGTACACTACAGAAAAAAGAATAAAGAAAACCTTACAAATACGCGTCCTCATTCCTCCTCCCCACCTGACATGCTTTCTATACAGGGGGTAACAGCTGCACTAAAATCTAGGTCCTGGGAGCAGAGGACACAGTTCTGACCCTGGGGGACACAAAGGCTGGGTGACAGAGACTGGCCTGAAGCTGAAATATCACACACAATCTGCTTCCCTTCTGAGCTTGAAAGCAAAACACTGTGTCCCCAGACAACAGCTCTGTATCGTCTTCACCTTGGCCTTGTCATCTACCATCTCCAGATTAGGGAAAGGGTTGAGACAGAGAGTGATGGAAGAAAACACAGTTTATTTTGCTTTAGTGTTTTATTTTTTGTGGTAAGGTTGAGTTTCAGGAGGTGAATGACAAGCATACTTAAAATACAAACGTGGCCATGGTTCATTTAACATGCCACTGAAACTTAAAGTACTTCCCTAATTTAGCACATTCGATTCAGTTCAATGAAAAAGGCATAAGTTAGTAACTAAAATATTTTCACTTAGTGATAAAGAATAACAACATAATCTTTTTCACCCCCCTAGAGATGGCTATGAAATATAACAGGATACACACAAAGAATTGACAGATCATTTATTTTTAGTAATCCTAATGAAGCTGAGAGGATTACTGAAATTAATCCTTCAATTTCACTTTCATCAATGGGATTCACTGTCCCGTTTTAAAACTGGAAGCCTTTCATCCTGAAGTCATGGTGGGTAGCTTTGTACTCACTGGACGGAAAGAACACTCCCACTGGCAAGTGACTGGAAGAAAGTCCTCAAACACTGAGGACTGGCTTCATGACTTCTATCAGCTTGAACCAGATGAAACTGACACTCTCTAAGTCGGAAATTGTGGAGTGCTGGCAACTCCATACGGAGCAACCTATACTCTGGCTGCTCAGGGGCAGGATATCCTTACTCCCTGTATTTACCTATATCCTCATAGGTCAAGGACAATGGGTAAAACCAAGTTCTGTGCTTAAGGTACTACCCTGCTAACTTGCCCATGAAAGCCCTTTATCTTTGAATATTCCCTCCCTCCCACCCTCCTGGCCTGGCAAACTCCTCCATAGTTTTCAAGACTTAGGCCAAATCTATTCTGTGAAGACATCTCCCCTCACAGACTTTCCATGCTCACAGGGATGTCTTCCAGGTCCTCCAGCAGGCACGTGTGCCGCAGTGGGGTCATCTGCCTAACTGTTCTATTCGACCCCAGCAGTGCAAACGTGCTTTTCAGCAATTTCATTGACATATAATTTACAGAACTTAAAACTGACCTGAAAATGTTCTGATCCATACCTTCTTCCTAGGCAAGACTCCCACCCCTACGAAATTAAGACGATCCCCGAGCTCTGGCATCACTAGAAGATACCAGAGTGCATGCCTGATTCCTGCCATGCTGACGATAACCAACAGGGACCAACCCTTTCTTCCAACCGGAAGTGCAGTACCCAGGAGAATCTTCACAGACAGATCCCTGATCTATCTCTCTCACACCCAGGGAAGAATGGAAGTCAGAACAGACGATCTGTGAGTGTCTGCTGCACGAAGAACATGAGGTGTACACACCTCATCCATGTATGGTTTCACCAGTACTTGACCAACTAATGCCTCTGCGTCCCGCGTCTTGTCAATCGTGGCGTAGGTCCGTAAGCAGTGCCGTACTATATCAACATTGGAAGTCTGAAGACCTTCTAACAGCAGGCCTTCCAGGCTCTGCTGTAACATGGCCGTAATGCCAGCTATACGCTGCAAGAACAAAGAGCCAAGTCAAGAAAGCTCCAGGGAGAACAGTTTCTAAAAATTCAAATATATATATATATGATATATATATATATAAAGCGAACCTCTTATTCTACCAGAATATATGTAAGATTAAAATAGTAACATTTCCTGGAGCGTAGCAACGAATCTCTTCTCCCCACGATTTCTTTGTAAGTAAATCTTTGCTTCATCAAAGGAAAGTTTAGACAGAATTACCGAAGGACAAAAAGTTATTTTCCTCTTAAGCCACAGAGTAAATCGGACAAGGGTGCATTTAAACCCAGTCAAGGGCTTTGGATAAATGAACTCTGACTACATCATATAATGTGTCAAGTTCCATGGAATTCACAGTTAATTTTACTCCTATAGTTTGGAGAATAAGCTTGTGTCTTTACACAAAATCTACACAGCGTGACACATTGGAAGCAGGGTCCCAAGCAACAGAAACTGAAAGAAAAAATTCAAAGCTAGCTTCAAAATCTTGTAGAGCAGCAATTATCAGGGGCAATGCTGGGTTAAACCAAAATCATCCAGGAAATTCGCAAACAGCAAACTGAAAATCTAAATCAACACTTACCGGTCTTACTTTGTCCAGAAGAGGCATGCCTTTGCTCTGAACAGCATGAAACTGTAGCTGGTTAAATTCTGTGGCAATTCTCTCCAAAATCTGTCCAGTCCAAAGTGGGCTAGTAGAGACAATTGTAGAAATGTAGTTCCCGAAGTTGTTTAATTTCTGAGAGACCACATCACCCAGTTAGCAACGGTGAGACTTTAGCGCCCCCTGTGCTGTGACTTTCTTCAGTGTTTTTCCAGGGCCCCCCTTAAGGAGCTAATGCACCTGCACCCGCGGGCCATCAATTTTCAGGACAAGCTATATGTGCAGCAGGTTCCAGGTGCAGGGGTGGGGTGGGGGTCGTTCCGTAGAAGCACGGACGCTGCCCGGCCCCAGCCACAGGAGCTGTTCTAGGTCTGTGGGTCCGTGTGTTTCCACCACGTTCCTCAGGCTCTCCAATTCGTGACCTTCTTCATCTCTAACCCCCTTCTCTCTCTCTGGCCCTATCCTATCATTCATCCATGAATCCTCTTCTTCTCCGCCTGCCTCATTCTCCCTCCCTCTAAAACACCTCTAATTCTTCTAAAGTACCAACCACTGTTTTCTCCTCAATCAAATAAAACTGGCCCTCTAGCAGCAATAAATGAAATACCTCAGAATAGCTGACTTTAAGTTTACATTTACCGAACAGCAGAAAGAGCAAGCTCTATTCTCTGGGTGCTAGTGAGAAAACACTCATTGTGAATATGCCACCAAGTGTAATGAATGCACTTCCCTCCGCCCCACAAACACATTATTATAAAGTGTCAACACTGCTCAAAAGGAAGCTAAAGAGGGCACATACTGCATGGAGCACTGGGTGTTATACACAAACAATGAATCATGGAACACTACATCAAAAACTAATGATGTACTGTATGGGGATTAACATAACATAATAAAAAAAAAAAAAAGGAAGCTGAATAGTGAAAGAAAAAAAAAACTATAAAGCCTCCGAAGCACCTCTGGGCTTTTCTGAGGCACCCTACATCTGATGATGAGCAGTGAGGTAGTGAGGGGAAGACCTGCATCATAAGGAAACACAGAATGTATGGAGCCCAGCGGCGGTGCATCCAGTCCTGAAGCATCCAAACTAGTGTGTAGGGAAAGCAAGCGCCTGGCACGACCGAGCCCGAAGCCTAATCCCTAACTCTACTGACTAACCTCGTGTGCATTTCGTATTGATCCTTACCTCAATGTTTCTTGGCCTGGCAAGCATGATGTATTTACTACGCACTGAGGCCGCTCCGGCTTTTCCTTACTCTAGGGCTCAGAGCTGCTCTTCTCAAGAAAAAAAGTCCTCAAAGGTAATTCTGAGCAAGAGCCAGCAGAACGTCTATCAAAGACAGCACTGCAAGGGGACACGGTTATGGGAACAGAGATCACTGAGGTGTTTCTACCAGAGGAGCCCAGCAGGAATGGCAAACATGGGAAGAACACTGGAAGGCAGGCTTCCCAGGGGCCACAGCTGGAGGGGTCATGAGCACTGCCAAGGGCCGTAGCAAAGCGGGGCAGCTGGAAACACACACAGGCCCCCCCGGACTGCTCAGAACAGATGCTCACCGAGTCTCTGCCAAGTGTGCGGGACCGGGGGCAGAAGCACTAGTGCAACGGGCTGAAGACACAAACACGGCAGGGACTGACCACTTAGTTACAAGCCTTGGTATGAAAGGAGGCAGAGACCTCGGACCCGAGAATCGCTTCCTTTGGGATGTCTCCGTTCTTAATCTACATCATCAGAGGTGTGGAGCCTATGGTCTCTAAAGTCCCTTCCAAATCGAAAACCTTAATTCCTAAAATTAAGAAATGCAACATGCCTTTAAAGGATGACCAAGCCTTTGAACTATGGGCCCATTCGATTTGGATTTGGTTGGTTGGTTTTGCAGCAGTTTATCCAATATTATTCATGGAAAAATATTACAGCTATCAATGTGATTTAAAAAAAAAGCTCCTGTTAGACCGAAATTTGACCCGTATGAGGGCCTATGTATGCCAGGTACGGCTGAGCGTATCTCAGTGGTCGAGACAAGCCTGCAGGTGGAGTGACTGTTAGTTTTACATTATAGAGGACACAGGGCACCAGGCGACCTTGACTCGCGTGGCCCAGCTGCTACATGCAGTACAAGCCTGTGTTCTCCCCACTGCACCACACTGCATCCCACTGGCCTTAACACGATCTAATAACTCATTTTCTGAGTCACTCATCTACCTGGCTGATCGGAAATTCACACCAGGAGGGGAATAAGACAGTCACAGTATAACAAAGAGAGCCATTATCTTTGTCTTATTTCATACGCTTTTTCTTTCCTGTTTATAAATTTCAACTAAATGTGTCCTATACTGTTTCATAATGATATAATGTTGATAATGTTGTAATACTCTGGGCATGTCTACAAAAGAAAATCTAAGAAAGATGAATGGGACACCTTGAAGATGAACAGGATTTTGCTAGTCCTCAGGGAAGGTGATTCCAAATATAAAAATTTTCCACTGGAAGCACACTGCCTCTGACCCCCTGAAAGGTGACGTGTTGGGAACTGTGGCCTATAACCAAAGGGTTTATAGGGACGTTTTATAAACTTTACCATTTTATGCGCTCCACTCTCCTGGAGCTACATTCAAAAACACTAAGGCACAGACCTGGATTTTCTTCTTGTTCAGAAATGAATTCTAACTAAAAAAAAAAAAACCCCAAATTAGACTGGATGTCAAGTATTAATTTATATGCTACTTAGTAAAAAAAATGCTTACCTGCTTGCTTCTAGTGCAGAGGTTTCTTTAGAACTTTGAGAATTTAAGATTTTTTCAATTTTTTCAACTGATCGAATAACTTGTATAAGCCTCAACACACACATCTATAAAAATAAAAATTAAGCAAACAAAAAAAGTTACCATCTTTAACCTTAATTATCTTTATTTCCCATGCTAAATGCAGGAAAATATAAAACCAAAAGTCAACTCTGAATATATAGAGCATCCTACATTTTGGATATTTCTACAAAACACGGAATTCTCAAGAATGCAAATCTTAATTCTGGCTTTCTAGAACAGCCTATTTCAATATTCTACTGCAAGTTCATAGAAAAAAAAAAAACCCCTAGACTTTTGCTTTCTCATATTCTGTACTCTTATTTCTTCTTTTTCCCATCCTGAATCTCTCTATGAGCACTCCATTTCTTTTCTATTTTTTTTATTTGAGAGAGAGAGTGTGTGTGCACGTGCGGGGCGAGGGGCAGACAGAGAGAGAGAATCTCAAGCAGACATCCTGCTGGGCACAGAGCCCAGTGTGGGGCTCGATCTCACGACCCTGAGATCATGACCTGAGCCGAAATCAAGAGTTGGACATTTAACCAACTGAGCCACCCAGGCACCCCTCCATTTATTTTCATATAGCCCTTTATTCATGTTTTAATTTTAGCTTCTGATCATATTTACCCTCTCAGTTTACATGTGCATATACCTATATGCAAGCGTCAATTCATTAAAGACCTTTTACACTACAAATATTACCAAAGAGGTTGAGGGACATTATGAAAACTCTCATCCTTAAAAGAACAAAAACAGACGAAGTCATCCATTCAACAAATAGTTACTGAACACCCCCCGGGAGCTGGACATTCTTCCTGACAGTGGGGACATAAGTGAATAAAATAAGAAAAATGCCCTGCTCTCATGAAGCTTATCATTTTGTCTGGAAAAGCACTACATGAGTTCTTTGGACAAAAGCTGAGAGGAGTCTAAAGGAGAATTAAACAGAAGGTCTCTCAAATAGGCTTCTCCCCCTTGAGATTTTAACAAATATGCTAATAAATACACATAGAAAACACTGTATAGAGCAGCAGGCTAGAGTTAGAAGTCTGGGATCCCAATGCCCACTGTGCCCTTACATCATTATGATCATGAATAAAATCGGGGACATGTTAAATAGGCGACGGGCACTAAGGAGCGTGCTCCTGGGGGTGAGCACCATGGATGTATGGAGCTGTGCCTGTCTTGCACACCTGAAACTAACACAGCACAAACTAACACACCTGAAACTAACACAACTAAGGAATTAAAAAAAATAAAAGAAAAGTTAACACCAGAACATAAAGAAAACAAAATCAAAAAATAAAATTAAAACCCAGGACCACTAAACAATAAAGGCAATGCATGCAGAGGTATATGTAAAGGAGGGAAACAAAAGAAGAAACAAACATGGCAGAATGAGAGAGCAACATACTGCTTTTTCTAAAACAACAAACCTGCAGAATACTGAGTTTACTTTAGAAAGCCCACTTCTATCCTACTCTCTAAAACAGGCATATTTTCTTTACAGGGGCGCTGAAAATTTATATGGTGGTTAAATTGTCAAATGCTTCACCAACAACAGTTATTACTGTTTCTTGTTCTGGAAAAAGTGAGTGATCTTGAGACCACGTGGGTAACTCTAAAATTCTTATTATTTCAAGTAGATAATGTGACATTATAATGCGTACAACGCACATGCACAAGAGCTTTGAAAAAAAGTTGAATAGTGTTGACAAGTATGAGGAGACAAGAGGCATGCAGCGTAAGAAATCTACTGGAGGATACCTTTTTCTTCCTTATGTCCTCTTGTTTACACATTCGTTCATCTACTGCCCGAATTCCTTCACTGACAGACGACCTGAGACTCTTTAAAAGAATAAAGCAAATGAATTGTAGTAATTGTTTTGTCACATTATCAAGTTTATAAATCTCATTCAATTCCACAGAACTTAATACCTGCACACCAGTACCATGCACATATTGACAAAAATACGAAATACCAGACAATTGCTATTGAGGGTACTCATGATTTGGGGGCAAAATGACACAAAGTCAGGGTCGCACGGGCAGAAGAAGAAGAATACATATAGAGTGAAAGTCATAGAGGGGTCAGGGCGGAGAATGGATAATCTGAAGCAAGGTACAGGAGAGTCTCGAAATGGGATGGGGCTCGAAGCGGACTCTGAAAGCCTGTTTGCTGCCAAGGTCAGGAGGGGAAGTTGAGAAGATGTAAGTGCACACGCAACTCAGGGTCAGGCTCGGACGGGCACACAGCCATGTGCACTGCAGGCTTCCTTCTGGAGAGAAGTACAAATAGGAAGGGAGGATCAACTTAGGAGGACTTCACTCAGATGAGGTCTTTAGATTCTGCACATTTTGGAGAACTAAAGAATGTTGAAGCACTGATGCATCATGACAAAATGTTGTTTTGGAAATATTAGGAATCAAAAAATAAGAACAGAAGGCCAGAAAAAGGGAGAAAGCGCATAGGTGGAGAAACATGTCCAGAAGCTAATGAATGAAGGCAAGTACAAATAATTAGGACTTAGGGCCAAAACAAAAGTTAATGGAAACAACTAGAATAAAGTGGACATATCACAAAAATTCTACAGGAAGGTGAATTAATTCATTCCATCAACATTATGAAATACCTCCTGGACGTCAGTATTGTGAGAGCCCATGGGGATACAATGAAGAAGAGAGAAACAGTCGTATCCCTCAGTGGTCTTAGAATCTCACAGAGTAGCTTCATGAGTTGGGACCAGAAAGGCAGGTCAGGCCTGTGGCTATAAAGACAGGCCGTGGAAAAGGGAAGGGATACGGTGCTGGCAGGGGGCGAGGCTGGAGGGGAGCCTGTGCGAGCCGCGCAGCAGTCAGCAGAGCAAATCTGCCTCTAGGAAGGGGGTTTCGAGAGGCCAAAGGAAGGCTGGGCTCAGGAAACAGCACCGCCACAAGGCTGAGGGAGGAAGAGGCACACCAAGAAGGAGGCAGGAGAGCCACACAGCGGCTGGTGTGGAATCCAACAGCGGACCACAAAAATCACCCTTCTGTCCCAAGGACAAGTACCTTAACAAGATTTTGTAAAATTCAAACAAGACATAAACAATGGCAAGTATTGGCTGGCTCAAGGCACAGCTCAAGATTTACCTCTTTCACAAATTCTTTCCTGCCCACCCCTCCCATGGGCTTCTCAGCACTGACATTTCTGTTACTCTGCATTTTCTCGGCTCTAACCACGCACGGTGTCTTCCCTTAAATTATCTTCCACTTATATTCTCTCCTTAGGTTGCAGGCACTGTCTTAGGGGCTAGATGCACAAGGCCACTCAAGCTAGAGGAGACACACAAGGAAGGATGGTGTCGTGCACCAAGTTTACGACAGTGCATCAGAACGGACGGCGGCTGAAAGTCAGGGCACCAGACACGGATGGGGGGAGGTGGGGAGGACAGGCAGCACAGTTTTCTGTTGGAAGTGATGCCAAAACTCCCCCTCCACTGTTCAGCCAGGCGGAGTTCCTATTCCCAATGGCTTAGAGGTGGGGAGTCTCATTCCCACAGCAGAGACTTTCTGAGCAAAACATTAAAATGTAATATTTATTAGGTATTACATTATATTTATATTATCCTTCAGCTACATTAGGCATTACATAGCTTTCGTATACCAGTCTAGGAACCTAACAGCAAGTAAATTACCGGGGGGGGGGGGGGGGGGGAGGGGGAGGGGAATACTTACAAGATTAAAAATTGTTAAAATACAAGTCATTCATAAGTTGGAAACCACTTACATATGAGCAAAGTGGCATAATAAGCTGAATTTGGAAATACGCTTCCTCTCCCCTGACATTTTAAGGCTGTCTACTCTGAGAATCTCTCTTCTTCAAATCGAACATATTTTTCAGGTTGTAATAGCATATGCAAAAATAGAAAATCATTTACAACTTTTCTGAAGGTGAGTACTATAATCATGAACCATTAAAAAACAACCACCACCACCACCAACCTAACAGATGAAAGGAATTCTTGGAGAAAAGCCAACAAGGCCAACATGTTTCACAGTAGATTGTTTTATATCATTTGGGGACTTACCAGAACTTCTTCCCGTAACTGTCCCAAAGGCACAGAAAGCTGATTGAGGGCTTTGTCCATGCCGACCTAAAGGCAAAATCAGGTTGGCACAAACACATCACAATCAGGAGTAATAGTGATGTATCTGTTTAATGATCAAAGCAGTACCAGGCTTAAGTTATTTTTTTGGTACAACCATATTTTGCTAAGTAACTAGCTAAACAACAGAAATGTTATTTTGCCATTAATGTTGCTCACAGAATATGAAAAAAATCGGTTGATATACATGAAACTATAAAAATAAGGGAAGTCATGATAAATGAAAGCCTCCTTAGGAACAATTTGCCTTTAGATGACATTTTAAATGAATGTGAAAAATTTTCACGGAAAGTGAACAGCTCTCTGTCTGTAATTTATGGTACTCAGGCAGCTGATGTGAAAGTCTGATGGGCTATGTCTCTCCTAAACATTATTATAACCCTTGAGAAAAATTCAAATTAAATAGAACAGAAATAAAATTTTCTAGGTTTCTAATCCTACTGGAACTTTTATCTTAGTGGTATATTTCCCCAAAGCAACTATACCTCATTAATTTTAATGCTTCTTGAAATTCCCATGGAGCTGCTACTTTCTGTGCTTCTCTGGACAGATTTAAAACAAAATGAAACATCAACAAGGAGACTTTTCTGCCAGGTAGTAAAACTCAACATTTCTAAACGGTTTTTATAAACAACTGATATGCTCATTACAAATCATTCTTACGTTTTTATAAAACCAAACCTTCTAAATACCAATATTGGCCAATGTTCCCTCAACCTAACTCTGGCTAATACATAT